GTATAGTTTCTAGTTGTAGTAGAAATTATACTTACCTGTTGGACACCGCTATAAATCTGTAAAGGATCTCTGTAGCCATGTTATTATTATAGTACTACTGTTAAGAAGGCCACGGTACTGTAACAATACGAAATAGTACAAAAAACCTTAATGATCTCAGGATCCTGTGATTAGATTTTAGCTATTTTGGACTCATTAAAATCGTCTCATCAAAATGAACATTTTGATAGTTAAATTATTTAGAACAAATCAGTAAATCAAAAGTTATTTCATTTTAAAAATATTAAAAAGATTTTTAATAATTAATTAAATCGGCCAATCAGAATTAAGCTAAGGTGATCACACCATACATAGATGGGGTGGCTACTAAGTAAAAAATATTATGTGATAAATAGCACACCCCTTACCCAAGAAAAACCTTTTTTTATACTAAGTTAATTGCTCTTATATATTAAGTAAAACTTGTAGAGCTCGTCAAGGTACATCTAATAGCAATAAGATCATTAAAAATGGTAAAAGGTTATATAAAAGATCTCTCTATATATCAAACCTACCCTCATTTTTTACTAATTGTTTTCTTTTTTTTACTAATTAATTTTTTTAGTAAAATATAAGAGACCTGGGTTTTTTATATGACCTTTTATGATAGTTGTTGAGATATTGCTAAAAAATGATTGGTTGACTATATAAAATTCTATATAAACAAACTATTGTTATATAGAAATTTTACATAATCAGCCAATCATTTTTTAGCAATATTTTGACAACTACTAGACCATTTTTGATGATCTTATCACCATAGATATGCTTTAATAAGCTCTACAAGTTTTACTTAATATATAAGAGCAATTAACTTAGTATGAAAAAAAGTTTTTCTTGAATGAACATCATATTCAAAATATATATAATTTATATAGTGATCTGCATCATGTTATACTATGATTATGTATTAGGTAACTAGCAAATCACCAATTTTTAAGTTTTTTAAATAAATTATCTGGTAATTACGAATACTATATACATACTAATGTTCATGCAGAAAAGATTTTATCAAAAATTTTTATACTATATATACTATATATGCTATTTATATAGATGATCAGATCAATTTGTGTATACCCCTAAAATTTTTTATTAAATTCAGGTTATTTAATACATTTTAAATTTAAAATTGGCTGAAAGTTTTTATTTATAAAATATTGTTGCATCACTTCTAAATCAAGAATCAAAATTTTATCTAAACCACTAATATTTATTGTCTTGAAATTATCTAAATAAAATTTTGATTAAACAAAAAGTTTTTGATATTATAAATTTGATATTAATTGAATTAGTAAAACAATGCATAGATTTAAATTTTTTTTTCAATAACTTTTTAGCGATGATACTAAGAAACGATATTGGTATTCTAAACCTGATCATTAATAAACTAGAATATTTGAATGTTAGTAAATTAAAATACAATCATTAAAATAAAAAAATAATCAACAAATTATAAAAATTAATTTTTTTTCAGAGACAAAACATAAGCTAGCAAGATATAAAATTGATTTTATTCGATTATATCTAATTGTAAAAGCAAAAAAAAATTTTTGCTTATAATTTTATATTAAAATTGAAATGCTTATATAAGAAACTATACAATATGAACCCACCAAACTTAATATTTTTTTTTTAATCTTCTGAAAGTTTTTATTTCTATTAGTTCCAATCTTGAATGATTATTAATTCTTCGTTCTCTTCATAGTAACTAAACCACTTTTATTTTTATTAATGCTTTTATTTTCTTTTTTTTTTCTATTGTTTTCACTATCATCATCACTATCATTTTTATTATTATTTTCATTATCATTTTCACCATCATTTTTACTATTGTTTTCACTATTATTGTTATCATTATTCTTATCTTCATTGTCATCATTATTTTCATTATTATCCAATTCTTTTTGACTTTTAATTCCTCTTCCTGAATTTGTTTAGTTTGTGATCCTTGTAAAGTCAAAAATTAGGTCATCTTTAGTTCTATCTATTGCATTAGCAATTCTACAATATTTGAAGAACTTTTTGATCATATTAATATCAATAGCTTCTCAGGTCTCTTTTACCCAAGTAGCAACCAAAGATAAGAAGGTCATTTTATTTTGCGGTCTTAGTATATTTTTTGATTTCTTCATTCATCTATTGGTTATAAAAACTTTGTATCTATTAAAAATTTTTTAAAAATCTAGATAGTTATTTAATAAATATAATTATAAAAAAGTTTTTTAAAATATAAGATCATATTAATTTAATATGCAGTATTCTTGGTATAATGAATTGTTTGGAAAATTAGAAAAAAATTAGCAATATTATAGATTTATTAGTAAATCTATTATATCAAGTAGAATTAATTATAAAGGACCAATATGAGGTTTGATTCAACTTGAAGCAATTGGATAGTTTTTGATTAATAATCAAAAATTAGCTAATCATATTATTATCTTATATTGGATCAGGCCTCACATTGGTCTCTTATAATTATTATTATATAATCTAACTCTAGGTTCATTGTATTAAGATTTTATTTAATTTTATCATATCAAGAGCATCTTATCTTGAAAGTTATATATAGATAGGTTCTCATAACTTGGTCAAATTAATTTTTGCTTATATTTGTTAGATTTTTATCTTTGATTTAAATAATTTGTTTATAGAGATATCAAGAAGTTGTAAGTGAGATGTTAAACCACTAGAGATTAAAGCCAAGTTAGTATTCTTTTTCACAAACTGCCATTTACAGAGTCTGTTTTATGACTGGTAAACAAATCCAGAATTAACAAGAAATATAGATTATTTCTATATTGTGTATACTGAGTTTAGATGTTCTCTATTCATTTAGCAATAACAAGATAATTAAATAATAATAAAAATATAGCAACTTATGCTAAGATTTAAAATCTCTATTTAGATTTATAATATTTACTAAAATCTAAATATATTCTTTTATTAATAATACTAGCTCTAAACCTTAACCTAATTAAAAAAACTACAAAAAAATTCTAATAATCTTATAATTTCATAGAATAAATAAAATTCTTAGTATAAGCCAATCTTAGTATAAACTACAATAAAAAATAATAATATTACAATATTTATATTAAAATTTTTTAGTTTTTATAACTATCACAACATCTCATTTTTATTCATCTATCCTTAAGGGTTTGTACGTATAATAATACTATTAGAAAATTCTTCACGAGATATTTTAACTAATTTTCAAAATTATTAGAGGAGGTAATTTAGTACTATTGGCCAAACAGGTTAAAACAACAATAAAATTCAAATATTCATACCCAGTTGATAGAATTGATATAGTCTTAGTGCCTCTTTCTTCAATTATGATAGTATTTGACATACTAAAAGCCATAGCAGTTTCATCTATATTGTCGATCAAAGACAAAGAATAGTTATATTTATGTTATTTAAAAAGTACAAGAGACAAAAACTCATTTTGGTTTTCAATATAACTCTTAAGAAGACATTAGACAATAGTAGTTCTTCTTCGGTTTACTAAATTATTCCTAGACATAAATCTATTCACTTATTTTTGTAAAAATTTATTATTTTGTAATTCTTTATATTTTTCTTGATAACAAGATATAGCAAATAGAGAGCAAGCTTTGGCTTAAATCATAAATTGGTTTACAGTTTTTTGCTAAGCTCGAGTATCTTGAAACTATTCAAGTAATTTAGCTTCAAGTTCAAAATACTTGGGGCAAGCCCTATTTAATAGCTTTTATATATAAGATACAACTTTCATAAGTTCTAATTTTTTGCTTATCCACTGTTAAAGTTGTTTTAGTTCTATTTCAAACTCATTAGCAATCGAATATTTACTATGTCTTTTTTCACAATAAACAATTATCATTAATTTTTCATGTGCTGACTATGTTTTTTTTTTTGTATTGTACAAGCACACCAAGCTTTTAAGTTTTTACAAACCATCCTATTTCTTGT